TTATTCCATCAATTCTTGGAGACTTGTTCTTCACCAATTCCTTCAGTGCAGCATATAATCTGAGAAGCTAGACTATATGAAGAAGAACGTGGCATTAGGATCGGAGGAAGACTCATTAGCAACCTGCGATATGCAGACGACACAACTTTGCCTGCTGAAAGTGTGGATGACTTGAGGCACTTACTGATGAAGACTGAAGAATACAGTGTGCAGTATGGATTACATCTCCATATAAAGAAAACAAAAATCCTCACAGCTGGACCTATAAGCAGCATCACAATAAATGGAGAAAAGATTGAAGTTGTCAGAGACTTCACATTGCCTGGTTCCACAACCAATGCCAATGGAAGCAGCAGTCAGGACATCAGATGATGTATAGCACTGAGAAAATTGGCTGTAAAGGACCTCTTTCAAATGCTGAAGAGCAAAGATGTCTCCTTGAGGACTAAGGTAAGTCTTACTCAACCCATGGTATTTTCAATCGCTTCATATGCATGTGAGAGCTGGACAATGAATAAGAAGACCGAAGAAGAGTTGATGCTTTTGAGTTGTGGTGCTGGCAAAGGATGCTGAAAGTACCATGAACTGCTAAAAGATCTAATAAATCTGTCCTGGACGAAGTGCAGCCAGAATGCTCCTTGGAAGGGAGAATGGCCAGACTTTGTCTCACCTACTTATGGTCAAGTGGTTAGATGGGACTATTCCCTGGAGAAGGATGTCATGCTTGTTAAGGTGGAGGGTTATCAAAAGAGGAGAAGGCCCTCAACGAGATGGATTGACACAGTGGCTGTGGCAATGGGCTCAAGTAGAGCAAGGATCGTGGAGCTGGCACAGGACTGGGCAGTGTTTCGTTCTGCTGTGCATAGAGTTGCTATGAGTCAGAGATGACTTGACAGCACCTCACAACAACAGTATTAACTAGCCTTCCTCATATTATCCTACCACTGACACCATTGTACTTCAGGATAGATCTTGAAATGTTCTTTATGATGATGAATGGGTTGCCATTCCTCTTCAATTTGGTATTTCTGGCATAGTAGACCATATTATTGTTGGATTCAAAATGGCCAGTACCAGTCTGTGATGGTTGGAGCTGTGTGTCAACTTGGCTGGACCCCCAGTTCTGTGTGGTTGTTCCCATGATGACTGTGTTCTGAGTGGCCAACCTGCCCAAGGGGAGTTTCCCTAGGGGTGTGGCCTGCTTCCAAGATATCCAGGGACATCCTGGGGAGAGACACATTCTTTGAGGGATTGGAACCCTGGTGTGCTGACTACAAACTTCCGTGAGTGAGCAGCCCACGCTCGGCCTGAAGATCTGGGATTCGTCTTTCATTGGAGTCAACAACCAGTGTACTGCCTGCCAGCCTTGAATTTCTCGGCCCCCTGCACTTGCGGAAGCTAAGGCTGCCACCAGCCCGTTTCCTCCAGGGACTTTGGACTTGCTGGCTTCTATACGTTTGTGAGCCATTTTCCTAAGATAATTTCTCTCTCTCTCTCTCAATATATATATACGCTTTGCTGGTTTTTGTGTTTCTCTAGAGAACCCAATCTGACACACAGTCCATTTAGCTCACTTATTCTAAGATATGGATCTTTATGCATTCCATTTCATTTCTGTCAACTTCCAATTTTCCTAGATTCATACTTTGTACATTCCATGTTTCGATTGTTAATGGATTTTTGCACCTGTTTCCTCCCATTTTGACTCATGTCCCATCAGCAAATGAAGAATCCAAAAGCTTTACTCCATCCACATCGTCAAGGTTGACTCTACTTTGAGAAATACTTCAAAATATACTTTCCCAGTCAATATTTTGAGTGCCTTCCAACTTGAGGGGCTCATCTTCAGGCACTATATCATAATATGTTTCATGGCTCTACGCAAAGTTTTTCAGTAATACATCAGACAGTGTTTCACTGCTACTCATAAGGTTTTCAGTGGCCAATTCTTTCAGAAGCAGATGGCCTCATCCTTTTCAGTCTTAGTCTGGAAGTTCTGCTGAAACCTGTCCACCATGAGTGATGCTGCTGGTGTTCGAAATAGCAATGGCATAGCCTGTAGCCTCACAGCAACATGCAAGCTACCACACTGTGACAAACAATGACAGACAATGGTAGCATAACTCTTTAGTTACCTCAATCTTCCCATTATTTAAACAAATTTAGTAAGTCATTAATCCAAGTTCAATTCTGTGTCCCCAGATGGAAAGTATTGTGTTAGTACAAAATACATTTTTTTCAGGTATAAATTTGAAATAATTTGGCCTACAACTTTGGTACTTCACCAAATATTCAACTAACATTTAACATCGGTGCTGTGTACATCATGGTCTTAGGTGCTCATTGTGAAGACTTCAAGCATAGATTATATATTGCTCCAGGAAATTTGCATCTTTAAAAAGTTAATAAGAATACTCATTTCATATTTTAAATGACTATTTTTAATTTAATACTTGAGATTAAATAGAATAAAAGCAATTTCAATGCCACAGAGGAATAAATGAACAATTACATTCAGGCTTGTTTTGGGAGACTGATTTGAGGAGCCCTAGTAGTGCCTAGGGCACTTGACTGCTAACCAGAAGGCTGGCGGTTCAAACCCACCAGCCACTCCTCAGAAGGCAGATTGGGCAATCTATTTCCGTAGTGATACTGCCTCGGAAACCCAAGGTTGGTCACTATGAGTTGGGTCCAACCCAACGGCACGTAACAACAACAACAGATATAATGTTGGGAGCTCTGGTGGTGTAGTGCCTAAGGCATTTGACTGCTAACCGGAAGGCTGGTGGTTCAAACCCACCAGCCACTCCTCAGAAGGAAGGTTGGGCAATCTACTTCCATAGTGATACCACCTCGGAAACCCAAGGAGTGGTCGCTATGAGTGGGATCCTACTCAATGGCAGTGAGTTTGATTTGGTTTGAGATATAATGTTAGGAGCTCTGGTGGTGTCCTAGTTAAGGTATTTGGCTGCTAACCAAAGGGTTGGTGGTTTGAACCCACAAGCCGATGTGTGGAAGAAAGATGAGGCAGTCTGATTCCATAAAGATTTACAGCCTTGGAAAACCAATAGGGGTCGCTATGAAGCGGGAGCAACTAGATGGCACAGAATTTGGGTTTTTTGGAGATAGAATGTTAATAACCCTGATGTGGACTTTACTTGTTAGAACTAATTAATCTTTATAGGATACAAAGTATTGCCCTTAAGTACAAATGCTAGTAAAACTAAACTGATCCCTTATTTGGTTACTTTGTAGGGAAAGAAGAACCCAGACACTTGAAATTATTTTTTCAAACCTCAGAAAGAAGAAACGATGAATAAACAAAGAGGGTTAGGGCTCAGGTTTCCTTTGGTTAAGTGCTCAGGAACCCTGAGGATAGAGACCTAGGAGGAGTTAGTAGAGCTACTAATGCCTAAGGCACTTGACTGCTAACCAGAGTGCTTGCGGTTCAAACCCACTACCACTCCTTGGAAGGAAGGTAAGGAAGGTTGGGCAATCTACTTCCCTAGTGATACCACCTGGGAAACCCAAGGAGGGGTCGCTATGAGTCGGTCTGACTCCAAGGCACATAACAACAACAACACTAGAGCTTTCCGGATCTAGGACTACTTAAGTACACACCTGGTGAGATACTTAACCCACTCTAGGGTATAACACCTTCTTTGGAAAACACTGCTCTCTAAGCACAACACATCTTCCTCATTTTCTCTGTAACTTTTGTATCTACTGGAATCCCCAAGAAAGCCCTTTGTTTCACTTTCCCTCCTGTGTATGTGAAATAAAGACAACAGTTATCTATAATTTCACAGGCCTTGAAATTGTCTTTGCTCATATCTCCTGCAATTAAACGGTTTCCGAATTTTTTTTGTGGCTTTTCCCTCAGCAATGACTCCCAATTGTCAAGCATCTTAACAGGAGAGAATGCGATTTTGTGGACCAACACATCTGTGTTTAGTAGGCACAGATATCTCTTGATAACCCTCCCTATCTTCTAGTGGCTTTTAAGTTGTTCACGATTTTAAAAATACCATAATCTCAGCATATTAAATATTAAGGGACTCTTTCAGATTCCGAGAGCCTTAAAGTTATATCATGCAGATCTGTACGAGTGTTTTCCGTGGTGCAGAATAAAAGTTATGGTAGGGTTTTTTTTCTGAAGTAGCATTACTATAAACGTCACTCCTGCCACTGCAGTTCACAAAGGCCCAGTTGCTGTGAAATATTTTGAAAACAGCTTAAATGGAAATAATGCAGAGGCAAACAGGCGGAAGTAAGAATAAACTGAGCATGGCTGAGCGGCTGGTAGAAACCCGGAGGTTAGCTGTTTCTGGAAAGGAAGACAATACTTAGTAAACCGGGCGGGGGGTGGGGTGGTACGCAGAGGGCCGTTGTTAGAATACCTCCCGGGGTCGTTTCCCTTACGGTGGGGCTTCTGGAGGCGGGGAGAGACTCCCCAGCGCAGAGGAAGCAGTCTCCGCCCCCCACCCCACCCCAGCCGCCGCCTCCGAAGCACTTAAGGGACTGCAACTTCTCTCCTCACACCTTCAGGGAGTAATGCTTTCTCAGGCCACGATTCTTGCGACCCAAAAATAACTACACAGATGTAAGGCAAAGGGCCAAAGCCCTCAGCACAGGGCGGTACTTAGTTACTGCCTTATCGCTTACACCCAGAACACTCGAAACCTAACACAAGCCAGCCTTTTATAGCCAGTCCCTCGAGCCCCGCCCTAGCAACTTCACATAGCAACGCCTAGGCTCCAGGCTCTGCTGTCTTATCTGCCTCCGCCAGGCCCTTCCTGTTCCCCCTCCCCCTCCCCCCGCCAGTGCAGCTCAGGAGCCAGGCAGCCTGGATCACGTGACTGGCCCCAGGGGAAGAAAGGGACAAGCGGAAGACGTAAGGGGCGGGGCTCTGGAAGAGGAGGGGGACGTCATCAAAACACGCCGGGCTGCTTGTGGCGCCGAGGGTTTCGGGGCTTCTAGGGGTTCTGGGTCTAGGTTAAATGGCGGAATCTACGGCGCTGGTGTGGATTCGCGGCCCCAGCTCCAAGTGCAAGGCGGTGCGATGTGGCTCGGCTCAGTGCTCCGTATGGAATTTTATCCACCGTTACTGCCAAGATGAGGTGAGACTTGTGGCTCCTGGATGAGGAAAGGCGAACGAGAGACAGGGCTAGGTATGGAGAGTCTGTTTCGGCTGGGTCTGTTCTCGGGTTTTCAGTGTTTGAAGTTTCCCTAGTTTTAAGATGCTTCAAACTGATACTGAGGCCTTCCTTTGCTTTTGTTGTGTGACTGTGGTTTGTCTCTCTATAAAAGGAGAGAAAAATCCGCTCACAGTCCAGACCTCAGACACTAACACTTTGGGTCTCAGTTTCCTCATTTGTAAATGAAGCACTTGGGACAGATGATCTTTCAGGCTCATATCCTTAATAGATACTATGGTTATGTGACGCGCATTTTGCCTACTAATCACATAACTGTGTTAGCTTCAACCTAAAGAAGTATATTTTATGTAGATCCAAGCTAAAGAATCCTTGGAGAGGTATACGAATTTATGTGGTCACTGGCCGGGACCAAGGGCTTACAGTGTGTTCTGTTGAGGGCTTGGATTCTTAGGGGCTGTGATAAGTTTTCACTAATACTTTGATTTTCTTTGTCCAAACTTATTTTTTAAAATTTATCAAGGACTTCCAGAGTTAACTTGTGTGGTTTTACTTGATCAAGTAAGCAAACTTTTACCATTTGTGGTATTAAGCCTGTTCGTTAGCTAATGAATTTGGTAATCTTAAATCCTAATTTAAATTTGGTACTTAATCTAATACTCTTTTTTTTTTTCTTTATAACTACACCTCTTCCGTGGTTCCCAGACTCTTTCCTCTGCTTGTTATTTATAGACTTACCAAATGTACAGTCTAAACCAAATCTTTAGAAGACTTGGACTGGTTCCATGAAGAAGCAATGTGTGTTTAGAAGTGTTTTTCAGCTTCCTCATTTTTCTTCCTACACTGCAGTCTAAAGACTGTCAGTAGAACCTTTTTTGACCATCTGGATGGGGAAATACTTTCTAAGAAAGCTGAACTTTAATTAAAAAAAAAAAAAAAATTTCTTATGAGTGCAGTTTTCAAACTTATGACAATTGATCCAGAGTGGGGCCAAAAAAATAGGATCTTAATTTTAAGAAATGTTGGTAGTAAGAGTTTTAAATAAGAAGGAAGAAAACAAATGAGCTGATTCAAGTCATATTTATTTTAGAAACATGACAGTAAAAGAGAAATATAAAACTTATAAAAGGGCATTTGATAAAATACTGGACAAAGGAAAATAGCTCAAGTTCCCACCTGTGCTTTTTAGAACAAAATTGTTCTAACACATGATAGTGTTAGCTTTCACTGGGAGAGTAAAAATCTGCCCTGCTGTGTATCAGACTGATAAAGCAGACACAGGCAAAGACAGCTGCAAAGTTAATGATGATGTTGATGTTAGGTGTCATCAAGTTGGTTGCAACTTATAATGACTTTATGTACAACAGAACAAAACACTGGGGTGGGGGTGGGGCCTGCGCCATCCTTAGAATCCATTCTGTGCTTGAGCCTCTTGTTGCAGCTGCTGTGTTAATCCATTTTGTTGAAAGTCTTCCTTTTTTTTTTTTTAATTTATTTTTTTTAATTGTGATTTGGGTGAAAATTTACAGAGAAAATTCACTTTCCATATACACTTTATCTCATGACATTCACCACAATTTACCACAATGCAACATCTCCCCTCATACTTCCTCATGTATCTATCCCTCCATGCACTCCTGCCCCCTTAGCTGTCTCCCTGTGCATAAGCAGCCCTTCTTTCTCCCATGCTTGTTCTCTCCAAGGGGTATATCTACCTAAGGTAAATGTTCAACTCATATGCCTATCTATTGTTTGGCTGGAAGCTACAGGCATGGGTTCAATTCCAGACCTGAAGGCCACCTAGGGACCATAGTCTCAGTGGTTCCACCAGGCTTTATCGGACCAGCAAACCTGGTCTCCCCTTTATGTTTTCTCCAAATGATTTTGAGTTGTGTTCCACATTGTTCTCCCTCTCTATTCAGATCTCTTCCATAGATCCCCTTCCAAGTGGTTGACAGTAGTAGCCGCCTACCATCTAGTTCTTCTGGTCTCATGGTTGTATAGGCTGCAGATTGGATGGTGTACCAGTCGCTAGGACTAATTGTTTACATGAATTTTTGGTTTTCTTCATTCTTCTCTGAATGTTTGGTAGAATTCTCTGGTGAAACCATCTGGGCCAGGACTTTATATCGTTGGTAATTTTTTGATGACCTGTTCAATTTCTTCTTTTGTGATGAACCTGTTCAACTTTTCCACATTAGTCTGTGTTAGTTTAGGTAAGTGGTGTGTTTCTAGAAA